GACCGCTTAACATCGGCTAAAAAGGCTTCGCGCCTGCGACAAATCTCTCTTAACTCAGAAACTGAATTAATCTGAATATTTAATATTTCATGTCTAATCTCTGGCCGCAAATTGTTTCTCAGAACACGAATTAACTTATTCGATGTCCAGGGATGTTCCAGCTGATCGACTAATGCAGTAATGGTATCATAAAAACAATCGAACGATTCGTTCGGCTTTTGTTTAGTGTTTCTAACTAATTCTTCGATATCGCCATCGTCTCTGCTCTGCCGAAACTGAAGGCGCAAAGCTGAACAGAAACTGTCCCAATTAATTTCTCCATGAGCTTTATGGTATCGCCAGTAAAACTCGTTTGCTTTGCCTTCAAATAGGACACTAGCATGTTTGCACAGCAAAGAGAAATTGTTGCCTAAAGTCTCCCGAGTCAATGTATCAACTCTGTAAATAAAATTGTCTACAGATACTCCTGTGCCCGAAAATTTGATTTTCCATCCGTTCAGGATATGCACGACTTTATCTGGTCGGTTTACTAAGTCGGAGGAAGTGCTTCTTTGAGAAGCGGGAGAACCAGGAGCCAAGAGGACTTGTCTTGATTCGCTTCTGGATTCATCTCTAGATCCGCCCCTAACATCATCGTTTCCCAGCGACCGCTGTGAAGAATGCTCACTCTGAGCACTGTCCATACCTCGACTTGAATTAGCTAACGCCCTGGTGATACAATCTGTTACGGAATTTTGAATTAAATCGGTCATCCTCTCTGAAAGCGTAGCCAGTAACCTTCGCTCCATAGCCAGTAAAGTAATAGCATTAGCCGTCAAAACGCTTGAATTGTTGACCCCACTTGTGTTCGTTTGTGAACTTTGTCCTGAGGTTGAAGCTGTATTATCCAATGCTTGCTGAGAAACTGTATCTAACGGCTGCCGTTTCTTCGAGCCACTTCGGGTTTGCCTGTCAGATCCCTCTATAGACTTTGAGATAGCTGGTCTACAAGATACTTTGCACACCGGACATTGTGCGCTATCCTTCCAGTGAGCTTCTATGCATCGCTTGTGAAACTCGTGTTGGCATGAGGTTACAAAGACCTCGGCAGTGTTTATATCTGCCTTACATATCGGACAATTATAGCTTGGGCTTGATTCAGCCCCCTTTCTGGAGAGCGGTCTAACCCCATCGTGCCCAAGAAAATCTCAACAAAAGAAAAAAATACAAATTAAATTCGACAAATGAGATCTTGTTCCGATAGCAGTTAACTTGCTGCAATCGAATTCTCAGAACCCTCTGCTTCTTTGCGATAAATATAGCCAAAATGTTTAAATAAATTAAGCCAAAAAATATAGAAAATTATGAGATGAAATATCGTGAATAAATCAAGAATAAAGTAATCAAATTGTATTTACCGAACTCTAGATGTCACACGTATCGAAGGGTCATTTTAAATTGATTTTCTCAGAAGTTGAAAGACTGGAAAAATAAAAGATTTTTGATTAGGTTCAAGACCTATTCAGAACAAGGGAAGCGATACTTATTTATTTCGAATTCGGACATAGAATAGTTCGGAAACACGTTCGCATGTATTCCAGAATACGATTTAAAAAAATAAAGCTTCAAGAAAAGATTAGAAAGAAAGTTAAAGAAAGCTGTAAAATACTTTTCCAGGATATGGCACGACTCGAAAGAAATGCCAGAATTTTTCATAGAGTTGAGTTCAAAGTCGAGACTAGTTTCATGACTTAGTGCTATAAAATTGGGACAGAAAATGCTCTTTGTATTGCCCTCTCTGTTTTCCTCAATTTAACGGCACCTTGTCACTTCCTCTCAATGTAGGAAAATCTTTTGTTTCCCTTTAAGTCTGGCCAGTTGGAAATACTAATATTTATCACAACTGTTTTCCAAGACTAATTAAGACAAAACAAAAAAAATTTAACACCAGTTTGAAGAAGTTGAAAGCTAGTTCAAATTAACTAAAATAGAAAGAATTTATTTACCCTTGAGTCTTAATAAAAATAAGGTATTTTTATTAAAACAAACAAACAAACTTTAAAATTCTGGACAGTTACAAATACAAATATTCAAAAAGCTGTTATCCAAGAATAAATAAAACGAAATTGTTGCAAATAAGGATATAAAATACAAGAGAGAGTTAAAGTAGAATGTGTTGAATTTGTCTATCCGCGAGTCTTAATAAAAAAATAATTTTTTTACTAAGGCCCCACGTTGGGCGCCACTTTTCTTAATAATAATAATGAATTATAACTGTAGCGTGCAACCATAAAGTTCGTCGGGGTTGGTGAGGATCTGGGCTGCTGGGGCACGCTTTATTTTTCCGGCTCTAGCTCGTCGGCTTTGGGGGTGGAGGTCTTGCTCACCCAGATCTCGGACAACGACTACACATTATTATTACAAAGACTAGAATTGAGCGTGCTGCGACAAAATAAAAGCTAGAACAAAACCGGAAGAAATGATAAACAAAATTCACACAACATAAAGAAGACAGAAGAAAAGCGGAAGTGGAGAGAAGAGAAGACAGAGAGAAAATCTATACAATGCAGAGACACAGATGTTGTTGTGCTCGCTTTGTGCCCACCCAACCTACGATCACCTGCCGCAAGAGCATGGCTCTGGTGATCCCTTCAGGACCCTACGACCGTGGAGTCATCCTACGAGTCGGTATATACCGGTTTTTAAGCTAACATGATTTTTAAAATTAAAACTTGTTTAATAAAATTAATTCAATACTTAAAGCTAACAAAGATAAATATAAGCTAAAATTAAAATGTAAAAATGTAAGGAGGTGCATAGATGTACATATATGTGTTTAAAAATTGTGCACAAAATTCAAAAGAAATAATTTTTCTTAAAAGTTTAAATCAAATTTAAATTGTATTATTAAATGTTCGTTTACTTCATGTTTTCTCTTTTCTATTAACTATTAAAAATAAATTTACTTCATGTCTTTAGTTCATTTCAATTTCAATTTCAATTGTTGCATTAGCTTATGGAGATTTTATTTTTGTATATTTTAAATTAAATCATTTTTAAATGGTTTAAGTTTTCAAGTATTTTCATTTTTTTTCAATTGCATGTTTTCATTCGAATGGTTTTTTTAGACTCACTCAATTTTCCATCGGCGAAGATCGATCTCCCTCGAAGCTTTTCTCTGGAAAAAAGGGGTTAAAGTCCGAATGGCCCTATTTTTCTTATATTATTATTCTTTTGCTATGCAACAATGGAACTTAATTTGAAGTAAAAAAATAAAGGTGTAAAAATAAAAAAAAACTAAATTAATAATAAATTAAATTAAAATACTGGAAATTCAGCATAAATTTTCATTATTCGGCTTCATTAAATTCACGGCTAGACGCAAGCAGATCGAGAGCATAATTCGAGCATAAGTTTTTAAATTCAAAGGCCAATATTAACAAATGTTTTGGGCCATTAATCACATTGTCTTTGTTAGAGCAAATTGTTCGCACAAATCTCAGAAGAAAAAGTAACCAAAATGGGCTTTAAGGGTAAACCCTATTTAAAATTATTCTTCACTTGCATTAGGAGGAGGTTAGAACACAGGGGTCAGGTCAAGGTTAACCCGCGAGGTTAGCAAAATTTTCACAAAAAAAAGAATTAATCGCTTTTCCCGACACGAAGCTGGCCAAGAGATGAGTTGCGCATCCGCGCTGTTGGCCTGATTTTCCTGGGGATCGGCTCCTCCTGCGCTGGTTGTAGCTTCTCTACTTCATCCCCTCAGGTTAGGGGTACCCCTTGCCTAGGGACTTGACTCTTTACTGCAGGGCCCAATCTGTAAATTTTTCCATTCAAACAGTAAGCACTGCTTTTAACAAACACTCTATTTTCATAATTACCCGCTGGCTTGAGCCCTGGTAACAAAATTAAGGGATTTTCCCTTGGCGAAAGGTCTTGTCGACCTTTGGCCCTGGCCGTGCGTCGACGCTGCTTTGCTGCCTCCAATTTTCTAGTTTTCCTAACCTGGGCAACAAAAAGGTTACTCACTGTGCCCCACAAATTTGGCACTTCTCTACTCACTTTTTCTGCGAAGCTTTCAGCGGCCACTTCAACTCTTAGTTTACGCGATTCACTGCCACTGTCTGATTTATTGATAATTACGAGCACCCGACACGTCTATGCTCTTCTAGACCTTGATTTAAAAAGACCTCCCACGGAAACGGAAAGTCGGCTTGAAAAAAATTTCCTAATTGGCAAATGCGCTCTTCTTCGTCTTCAGAGCAAATGTAAATTCTCTGTTAAATATGCCAAAACGCGTTTTAGTTAAATGCAGCTCTACATTACGGCACGTGCAAGCTTGCTCAAAGCTTTGTTACGTAGTCGCTTGACCACCTTTACGTGATCGGCAACACTGGCGAAGCTAGGCTTAGGCTTCACATAAAGCGTAGCATCCTTCTAGGCTGATTTCCGTGGCAGGGTCTTCAGTCGCCACTACAGTAGAGACTTAGCTTAGCTTAAACCTAGGTATTATCTGATTATCTCTGGTAAATTGCGAGTGCATAATACCCCAGCATAATGCGGATTGTGCAAATATTAGTTGGGAATGCCTTTGTGAGTGCGATAGGGATTCCGGCGGCTGCGGCGGCTGCTCTCCTTGAATGCCTGAATAATTTTTCGCGTTTTCCCGCAACCTTTTAGTCATATTAATGTGCGGGTCGGACCGAACCCCCACTACTACTTTCCACTATTACGAATTTCCAATTCTCCCTGCTTTTCCCCTCTTAGTTCTCGTTTTTCCTCTTTTTTTTGTGGCGCCGCCTCCGCACTATTTCATTTTGTATCTCATGGCCCTTGCACCCTTGCCGCTCCACTGTAAGCACTATAAATACGTAGATACTAGATACTCGCTGCCGCAACTTGTATTCGACTTAATGGGCCCTGCTTCAAGCCCGATAATGTTGTGGAACGGGCAAGAGTGAAATGGGCGGGTTGGCAGGTGGGTACGGTATAAAATCGCAAGGATAATGCATAGTACTCACCTATCCGCTTGTTGTGCTGAACCAGAACCAGCGGGCTTTAGGCTCTTAAATGCTTTCAGCCACTTTGTTTTCATCGATGGCGCTGTGGCAGCGGAGAATTTGCGTTCGTTTCGCGGCGACGTTGGCTCAACTTTGCTCACGAACAGATCCTTCTACAGAAAGAGAGATGGAGAGAAAGAGGGGGAAAGAGAAAACAAAAAGGATGTGCATTAGCCCAAAATGCAATTTCCACTTAAACGTCTCACGTTGCAGTTTAATTACAAGCCATTAACACTCGCAACTCGTTGCATTTGCACTACAACTTTGTCTGCAGCTATTTGCCAACCATTTTGATTTCAGTTTTAGCCACATGCACACACACACACAGAGATACGCAAATGTAACATGCACTGAGCGAAATTATATACAGTTGTGTAGAAATTAAAAATTAATAAAAATAAATAAGGTAAAAATAGAGGTAACTTTATACAAAAGCTTATAAGAAGAATCAGTGGATGAAGTTACATCTATCATAAGTAAGCCAAAAATGCTTTAATTTCAATTCGGAAAACTGTTCTGTGTTATTTTTCAGCAGGTTAACAAATCTGCATACTCAATATAAAATGGGAAAAAAATAAATTTTATTAATTTTTTATAATTTTAAAGATGTAATTAAAAAGTTTCAAAATTTTGATAAAATTTAATTTTTGCCAGACAGCTAGATCGAGTCGGCTTTTGATGCTGATAAAGAATATATATGATTTATAGGGTCGGAAATGATTCCTTCACATTGTTATAAGTTTCTGACTAAAATTATAAACCATTTTTTGGGTCTTTATTTACTTATTTTTTTATATCACAATTTTTTCTTCAAATCAAAGTTTAATAATCTCATAACTTAGCCAAAATGCATCAATTTCAATTCGGAAAGCTGTTCTATTCTAGTTTTTATAAGGTTAACTAAACTGCTTACTGATATTTTAAATTTAATAAATTCCATTTTTTTTGTCAAAATTTTATAATTTTAACCCCTTTTAAAATGTTCAAAAAATTTTACAAAATTTAAAAAATTTATTTTTGCTCCAAACATGACTTAATCGATTCAGCTTATAATTCTGATCAAGAAAATATATGGTTTTTAGGGTCGGAAATTACTTCTTCACTGCATAAATAGCTTCGGACCCTGAAAGGTTATAAAAAAAATATATAAAAACGTGTCTAAGTTAAAGAACTTTTATTGCCTAGTCTTTTTGATTTCTAAAGAGTATAAAACCTAGCTAATCGTTCTTTTAATCGAATATAAAGTACGATATTAAAGTAGATCCTGTGCAATGACGAGTAAGACCTTGAAGACTACGATTAAAAGAAGTAGAGACGACGAATAAAAACCCGAAAATAAAAATATCAAGTAAGGCGACGAGGATAAGTTAACCAGTTTACTAGTATAGTAAAAGCTTTAAATTATATAAATCCCCATTATCCCTAATAACATTAAATATATTACTTTAATAATTTTGTAAAAGAAACACCCTCGAAATTCCCTTCTGTGTATTTGTAAAATGCTCGTTATGCCGTAATGGAGCCATGATTACATGGACAGTGTTTAGGCAAAGGAATGCCTAAATATTTAACTGATACAATGATGGCCAACGCCAGCCGTTGAATAAAGCCATTTTAATTAATAATCAACACTTTGCAGAATGCCACAAAATGTAATTATACCAAGCTCTCACACACAGGACGCACAGGACACACATAGACACACATCCTGTAACAATAATTAAAACCACGTGTGACATGAGGTCACAGTTTAGTAAGCCTAGTTGTCCTTGCCATTGCTATCCTGGTTATTAGCGTGCATTGTTAGTAGTTCGGTTCTGGTTGCTATCTGTCATGTGCGTTGTGCATAATTAGACGAGCTTTTGGCCATGCATTTAATTTGCTTTAGTTTTATTTGTTTAATAACCACAAACCCACTAAAGTCGCGGCTATTAACGGGTCATTGTCGGTGGTAAAAAATGCTGGTGAAAGCAAATACTAATTATGTTTCTATTAATGCATTCCAATGATGATGATATAAATATTAAACCCCATAATTTACATAGTTTTAATGTATAAGCATAATTTTTGGTTGCATTCCTCTATTTAGTTTTCAATAGTTTTCATTCCCATTAACTCTTTGGTGTTAGCCTTGTCAATCGAATACATTTTCGCACTTTTCGCAGACAAAAGTGGGGCGTGATTTTCCGATGTCAGAGGGAGATCAGAGGAGCAGTCAAAACAAGTTAAAAATCATGGCACTCAATGCGATTGCGGTATTTATAATGCAGCAGAAACGCGCACCGTTTTTCGCTGCATTTCCCCATTTTGGTTTCCGATTCGGTTCGGTTCTCCTTTCGCTTTTCCCTCCACCATTTTCCCCCATTTTCGACATGTTATTTTTAGCACTTTGACAGCCCCGACAGGAGTTTTGGGGCGAGGTCACACGGGAGGTGGCAAATGGGTGGAGTGGGTTGGGAAAACTGACAGACAGGCAGGCAGGCAAGCAGGATATTAAGGATGCCATGCAGTTCGTCTGCCATATGGTGCGATGAGCGATATCAAAATCAATGTATCCAGAATGAAATTCACTGGAATGCCATTCAGCGATTGCAAAGAATTTGCCAATAAAATTTAATTCACTCACAGCACACACACAATGGCAATTAAAAATGCATATAATATATATTTTTTATTTTTCTCACTCAGCACAACAAAGCGCCCATATTTAATGAGTAATTAATTTTCACACAAATTCCACCGGAAATGGAAATATTGTTGTCCCATCCCCCAGCCCCTATGCCCCGGTTTAATCGGATTCCTTATGGCTGAAGGACTTTTACAGAATATTCTTGCGAAGAGTTCAAGACGTGGCCAAAAAGATAAGCAGAGAGAAAACCTTGAGTTTTCTCTCTCCCTTGGCCTGTGTTCTTTTGGCGGAAACCAGCACATTTAAATGCCGAAGGAGATGGAGGAGGAGAATTTCCCGCCTGAGTGGCGTCTGGCCATAATGGACATGTGCCTGTCATGTTGCCTTTGTCATTGTCGTCGCCATTTGAAGGCGGATCCTGGGCCATAAATTTATGCATGCAGTGCATAAAATTCAAATTAAAGGAGCTGCAGCAGCAGGAGCAGCATCCTGCCAGCGACAAGTACACGTTTTGACACTTTACAACAGGCCAAGTCCCATCCAAAAGGGCGACGTCAAAGCCCGCAGCCAGCCAGGCAGCCTGGTCGCTTTTGGGGAATATTCGGGCGGACAGCTGGGAGATGTGGGCATCATCCCCCAGCCATGCAGTGCAATCAGGAGCAGCTGCTCCAGCTGCAGCTACCCTCAAATCAAATGTTGCCAGGACCTAAAAAGGCTTAAAGTGGAGCTGCACTCTCTCCCTCTCTCCTGACATAAATTGCGACCTAATTGATTTCACTTGGCTTTTAAGCTACTTTCTGCACAGTTTAGAGCTCAGTGCTTTCTTTTTTTTTCCCTGCACTGGCGAGGCGAGTTTAATTATCTCTCCGGCCAGAGCGTCTCCAGAGGAAACCAAAACAAAATTTATGGCTGTCACAATTTTTAATTATGTTGCCCATTGCTAGATTGAAACCACAAAGGTATCGTAAATTGCCAACTCAAGCGAGCGTCGGGCCAATGGAAATTTCCTCATTAAGGCCACAACAAAGCGGCCGGGGCAACAAAGGACTCGGATCCTTTGTGATTCCATGCTTGATCTGCTTAACCACAGGCCGGCGATAGCAGATGCCACACCCACCACAGTCATCCCCCTTATAACCACACCCTGGGCCACCTTGTAATAAGCGCCTCGATTGGTCCACGATGAGCCATTCGAGCGCTGGCAATATGAAGGCATATTTTATTGCCACTTTGATGAGCAGCAGTTGAGGCTCATGGCATCCATTTTAACCTATATTTTTCCTAGCCCGCTGCAGCCTGCAGTCTGTAATCTGGAGTAAGTGTAGTGGAGGAGGAGGAGGCTCTAATTGTCAGTCCAAGAGCTTGGCAAATACACACGCCCAAGACTTGGTTGTGCAGCGAGAAAGGATGGACAAACACAACATTTCCGTAAATTACACGCATTTGTCAAAACGAAACAATGCGCAAAGTGTTTATTTGTTTTAGTGAGTGCTTTTGAGCGGAAAAATGACTCGACACAAAAGCAGGAGGAGAAAATGCAACGGGAAAAACCGGGAGAAAAACCGGGCACAACCAGGGAAAACCAGGGAAAACGTGGGATTAGGGGGAGGGGAAGGGCGGTGGAAAACTGTTGCAACTTCTAATGGCTTTGCTTTGTTGTTGCCGGAATGTGGAACAGCGATTATGCAACCACATTGCACTGACAACGCATCATCGATCCAATTCAGTGGAGGAGGACTCTGTGGACCCCTTGGCGTATGCGTAGTGCAAAGCGAACACTTTTCAATTTTCATTAACAGAGCCGCCAAATTGCTTGTGTCAACTGCAACAGACATCACCAAATAACCACAACTCTGCGGAGCCTTAAGGATAGCACTATCAAGTACCCAGTATCTATATATAATCAGCATTAAAGTCTTTCCACACAATTACCTTTGATTGCCTGAAAATTTGTACCCAAATCTAGAAGCAATTTTCCAAATTGAAGGGCGTCTAAGGGCGGTGCGAATATTAAGAAAGTTTTGTGTGTGTGTCCTTTTGAGGGGTTTTATATGGGATTAGGTTTATGTTCTTGCTAAGTAAGTGTCCATTTCTGGGAAAAGTAAGATAACAAGTGGGATAATCACTGAGTTAAATCACTCTTCAATCTCTTCATCTTTCAAGATTCTTATATACCCCATACTTATTCGAATAAAAATCCAGGATATCCTACAAAGAGTGACTGTGATTCTGAGGCGGCACAGTTTGCATTTGACAACCAACAACAGCCGCATCAGTTGGCATTCAGCAACAATAACAACACCCAAAGTCCTTGACGATTGAGAGATGGCAAGAGCAAGGATTGACTGACTCTCCTGCCGACGGTTGACAGAGGCAAGTCAAACCTGTTCGGTTGCGGGTTATCCTTGTGGTCAGGCTCACCGCAACTCGTGCCATTCCTGCCATATTTTGCCGAGAAGCAGCAGCAACCGATAAATATGTAAA